CTGGTCCATCTCCGCCCCGCTGCCCGGGACCCGGAGCTCTCCCGGCGGCGGCTGCGCTCTCAGCGCGGCTCCCCCCACCGGGGCCGCTCCGTTATGGCCCCGCTCCGGGAGCCGCCGGAAATAACGGGGCTGCTCCGGGAAGCGGCGGTGGGAGCGCTGCGGCTCGGCACGGCCCAGCCGATGATGCACGCAGGGATGAGAAGGACGGGGGAGGCACGGCCCGGCCCTGCCAGAGCCCCGCGCCTCCGGCTGGCCCCTCCCGGCAGGAAGGGGAGACTGAGAGGGGGAACCTCTCGGGTCGGCAGATGTGGGAAAGGATCATTTCCATGGAAAATCGCGAGATGCTCTTATTTTCAGCAGCTCCTTGAATTATTTCTTGGTTGAATTTCAAGATGACCCAACGCAGGAGCCGGGCTATTCTTCAAATAAATTAATGCGAAGTGTGGGACTGAGTGCTGTAAAATATCACCAGAGCCTTCTGCACTGTAGAGACGGGGTTTGGGCTAAATCAGCTACTTGCACAGATATACGAGATGTAGGTCGAAAGACAGGGAAAACTCGAGTGTCCCCTCGGTCAGGGACAGCTCTGAAACACTTCCCAGTTCCTCTCTGCTCACCAACAAGGTGCACAGGGCAAGGGAACAGTCTGAAAACGCTACTCTAAGCACCAAACCTTACAAGAATTGTGCTGCTGAGCTGTGTTCTTGAGACAGAAGAACCCTTGACATGAATACACTGACACTGGCCTGAGACGAAGTAAACACACCCCCCAAAGGCTGAGCTGCGGTTTGGCTGTAGCAGAACAGGCACTGCAGCGTGGCAAGGGCTGGCTGGGGTAGAATGATGTGTTTTTCATGCAGCCCCACATCCACCCCGTCAGGGCTGGCAGTGCTCCATGAGGCCCAGCTCCACCTTCTTGCTGGGAAAGTACTCGAGGATCCAAGGGCTCAAATCTACCCAGCCCAGCTCTCTCGTCCTCCCACAGGTCACACTGTGTTCAGCCACACTCAAAGCACCAGCACCAAAGGGGGCTGACACAAAGGTTTTAATATTTTGCGGTCTTTTCTCTAAGGAGCCGATGGCAGCAGAGGACAGTGGAGGCAGGGAACAGCTCCGGGCATGTGTGAGTGGCAGTGCATGGACTGCAGGTAATTGTGCCTGGCCAGCTCCATGCTCTGTGTGCTCACCTCTGGACTCTGCCTGTAGCAGCAGAGAACCACAGATGTGAAACAGAATCATCTGAAATGTGGCATGCTTTTAGATTAATCCCACTTCCCTGCCTAAGACTGGGAGATGAAACATAAAGTTACTATGTTAGTACACAGGCAAGAAGCATTTCACTGCCAGAGCACTTTGGAACTAGCAGGTCAGAGGGGGTGCAGGGAGATGGTGCCACAAGCAGGTCATTGATTAGAGCAGCCCCTGTGCCTCAGTCAATGCAGAATTTTCTGGGTTTTAAGGAGCCCTAATACCCTCTTGTTCCAACTTCTGAGGTCCCCCATTCCAGCAGCCCAGAGGCCAAGAGTGCACCACTCCCAGGATCCACAAATAGCTTGCAGGTCTCTCAGATCTACAGGGTTTGGGCAGAGTACGGTAAAATCCCTTGATGTAGCTTTCTAAGTGCACAGATTAAATGTGTTTCCTCTGGGAAACAGGGGAATCTTGTTTTCAAGTACTTAAAATTTATTGACATGCCAGGACTCACCCATCCTGGGATGGTGTGGGATTCAGAGTGCAGCTTAAGGGGACTTTAGGATCAACAGCAGGGTCCTGTGTAGGGCAAGCAGAGTGACCCCCAAGGGTGGGCAGCTGCCCATGAGCAGATGCAAAGGGCCCCAGACGCGCTGTTGAAGGGACAGAGACAGCACAGAGGGCATTTGCTAGCAACCTTGGCTGAAGTCAGAGAGCGGTGGGATCCTACTGATGCTACAGGAGAGGCTGTGAAGCCACCTGATCATCTAACCCCAGAGGGAAGTGGAGACGCAGTAATTCAGGAGAAGGACCACCCCACATGCCATGATCTCCAGGAGCGGGGCCAGTGTCACCTGCCCAGCACTATTGACGTGAACTTTGCCATCCAGTCTCAGACAGCTGGCTTTTGGGGTGGCTGGGCAGCACTCCAGGTAGCAGGCAGCCTTCATCCCACCAGCACAGACTGGTTTGGCAGCCTTGCAGGCTTTGCTACATCCTGCCATGTAATTCAAGCCCATCTTCTTCATCTGGAAGGAGAGAGACATTAGCCTGAGGGTCATGCCGAGCCTTTAGTATTGGCATTACAGGAACACAATGCTCTGCAGCCCCAGGCCATACCTCACAGAAGTCCTGCCCCAAAATGCACCTAGTGAAGGTCTTCTTGTCTTTGAAACACTCGTCCCCATGACAGGAAAATGCTGCACACACTTTGCCCTGTGAGAGAAAGGACCGGGGAGACACCATCTGTCCATCAGACTCATTGGACAAAAACTGCATTTCAGACAGCCCTTCAGTCCCGAGGGCTCCTCTCCACCCCCCTCTGCTCTGCTGGCATTTGTGCTCTCAGGCTTTTTAGATCCAGAGATAAAGGAGTATTCTGAAACTGCAAGAAACTACTGAAAGACCAGCAGAGCAAGCAAGTTTCAAGCCTCTTTTTCCTTCCTCTTAAGAGGGCTCTGCAAAGATAAGCACCTTCCCCTCCACTAGACTCAGGAAAGGGCTGCAGAGCCTGGTGGGTCCTGCACCCTCCGTGCAGCTGCAGGAAGGCTCATCCCATGGTCAGGTGGAACTGTGTGAGCTGATGCAAGCACTGCTCTGGGGAACAGGCCTGAGGAACAGGGATAAGGCCCACTGGATGGGGCTCCGTATGGATTTCCAGTGCTCCTTCAGGACTTGTTGCCCTTCTAGAGTCAGCTTTTTACCCCATAAGGGAAGTGGAGGAGGGACTTTTCCCTGTCCCGTGCTCAGGTGGGAGCTCATCCATCCCAGAACCCACGGATGCTCCTGCAGTACCTACGTTTTGGGGGGGAGGCTGGGGGGTGGTGGTGGTGGTTGTCAGTGGCACGGTGCTGGTGGTGGTGGGTGGCAGGTCACCTGCAGACACACGAGGAGCCCTGTGAGGCTGGCCACAGCCCACACGGGATCCTCCACAGCCACACAGGGCCAGATTCACCAGCACTGCTCACATAGCAGTCAGAGCTGCCACCCTGCCCCTCGCCCAGCTCCAAGGACAGAGCAGCAGAGGTGCAGCCACAGCCCCTCCACGATTCTCCCCACCCATCTCCCATCTCTACCGCAGAACGAAGCTGGGCGATACCGTAGGCGCTGGCGTTGAGCTGCAGGCAGAGAGGGCCAGCACAGCACTCCAGGGCACACTGCTGCCTGCTCACACTGCTGTTGGTGCTGCACGGCTCCACGCTGCACCCACCGCTGCACCTGGCTGTGTAGTTTGTGCTGGAGAAACGATAAAGCTGCAACGGGCAAAGGATAAAAGGAGTGTGAAGAGGTGCTGTCATAAAGGAGCAAAAATAACTGAGGGACTGTCAGATTGGAAAGGGAGATGGACACAGACTTGTTAGAGCACTGTGGGTTCCTGAGAAAAAGAGAAGGCTTCCCCTGTTGGAGCCCTCTTGCATCTCCATACCTCGCAGTAGGTCTCATTATGGCAGGTGGTTGTTCTGTTGGTATGGGCTGCGTCCTGGTAACACCTCTCTCCGGAGCACTGGAAGCTCTGGCACGTTTGCTGCAGAGACACCAGGGTGTCACCTTGCAGCAAAGCCTCCTAGCTGACCCAACCACAGTCTCATCTGGCCACCCACTGTGCTCCCTTCCACCACAGGAGATGTTCCCATGGCATTCTTGGATCTTGTGAGTGGCCGGCTGGGCAAGTCACACTGTCCCTAGGGCTGCCACAGCCCAGCAATGACCCTCTTTCCATTCCTTGCCTTACCATTGTCTCTTCTGCTCCCTTCACAGAGGTGTTGGTGGCCACCAGAGAGGCATTGTTGGTGACCATCACCTCTGAGGTGTTCTTGGTGGCTGCCGAGGCTTCCTTGGTAGATGCCACCACCACCAAGCCATTCTTGGTGGCTGCTGAGGCATTCTTGGTGGTCATGGCCATCACTGGGGTGTTCTTGGTAGCTGCCAATGCATTCTTGGTGGCCTTGACTAACACTGAGGTGTTATTGGTGGCCACTGAGATGTTCTTAGTGGCCATGGCCATCACTGAGGTGTTCTTGGTGGCCGCTGAGGTGTTCTTGGTGGCCATGGCTATCACCGAGGTGTTCTTGGTGACCACCACCACTGCAGCATTCTGTGTGGCCACTGAAGTGTTCTTGGTGGTCACAGCCACCAATGAGGCTTTCTTGGTGGTCACCACCCCTACCAAGGTGTTCTTGGTGGCTGCTGAGGTGTTCTTGGTGGCCGTCACCATGGTACTGGCAGCTGTGTTGTGCACTGAAAAACAAAAAGCTCCTGCTTGGTGAAGAAAACACCAAGGAAAAACTTGCTCAGTGAGCTCTGTGTCCCTTCCTGAGCCATGGCACAGTCCAGAGGGACCTGTGGGAAGCATCTGTCACACTGTGGCTGGGAGGTGAAATGGCAGTCAGTGACAGGATGTGTCCAACAGGGTCCACTTGTAGCCACCATTTGGGCACCCAGATCAGGGCAGAGCCAACAGCCCAGCACAGCAGCGGCCTCTCCCTCCCACTTCCAGCCATATTGCCTGGGAAAAACAGGTTTTTATGGGGGCCACACCATGAGGAAAGGTTCCTCACGTGTTCTGCAGCTCTGTGCTACAGAGCACAGCCTGGAGAGGACAGACACAAAGTTCCCGGTGCACCACACTGCCTTTGCCCCTCTCCCCACAGGCCTCCAGATTTCCCTTTTGGATACAGAACTCACCTGCTGTGGCAAGAGAGTCCTGAAGACAGAGTTGAAGAGCCAAGATGCAGAGCAGCAAGCCTGGAATGGAGTGGGAATGGCTGAGAGCACCACACCTGCTGTCTGCTTTACCCACAGCCCAGAGAGCCTCCAGCAGCACAGGCATCTCATCCTTGAAACAGGTAAGCAGGGACACTCCTCCACCTTCCCAAAGCCCCCGGTGACCAGCAGCCACCCCTCACCCCAGGGAGGCCTCTGGCACAGCCCCCAACAGCTGGAGCAGAGATGGATGTAGGATGGGGTCAGACAGACAGACAGACAGACAGACAGACAGACAGTGCTCTCTGTGCTGCACCAGAGCCCCGTTACCTCGAGTTGGGGGGACGAGCCACCAGTGTCCAGCCATCCTCATCCACCAGCAGCTGCAGCCAGACCTGGCAGAAGGAGGGACTGTCAGAGCTGCTCCCCCAAGGGTGGACACCCCTGTGCAGCTCTGTGCTCTACCCCAGTGCTCAGCCCCAGGACAACCTGTCAGCCCCTCCTGAGAGACTCCCCAAATCCACCGAGGCTGCTGCGGCTGCTGATGGGGAGCAGGAGCCCTGGGGAGCTGTGTGTGCTGTTGGTGTGGCAACAACCCTCCCTGGAGCCCAGAGACAGCACAGCCCTGCCACGAGCAGGAGCCAGGGTGACACAGTGAAAAGTGCCACCATGCTGCTGCTGCTGCTGCAAATGAAGATGTGACCTGGCTCTCCATCCTCTATTTGCATTCCAAATGTTTACCTGTTTTGCTAAGGAAATGGTGGAGATGTGACTCCAAACAGGCTCCAAAGCCAAATTCTCCAAGGAGAATGGTAATGCTCCCCTCCTGTTTTATGATTTAGGCTGAGTCATCATTCCCCCAGGACCTGGAGGGGCTGAAGCTCATTCAGAGACCTCCAAGGCTGTTCCCTCAGTGACTGTAAAGACGGAGCCAGCTGGCACCTCACCCTGCCAACCAGCCCAGCCAGCACCCAGAACAGCTCTGGACATCCTTACTGAGCCCAGTGCCAGTCCAGCCCCAGGGCAGGCAAGGAACCAACATCTGCCTGACATGGCCTCATCCCAGAACAACCTTCCCCCCCAGGCAGGGTAAGAGCCCACAGCACTGACTCACCTGTCTGCCTATCCCTGAAGCCCCAGCGCTCCTGCAGTCACTGCCAGCACTGTGGGAGTGACTGCAGGAGCTCCTCTGAGCAGCTGCTGTGGCACCTGCCCCACAGCCCAGCCCCACCCCTGCCAGCCAAGCCCCGGGGAAGCGTCACAAGCAGCTCCACAGCAGCAGAGACACAAACGGTCCTGAGCAGCAATGGAGAAAGGGCATGTGAGGATGGACACATCACACAAACCACCAGTGCACTCAGGGGACTGGGGGGCACAACTGCCACTGCCATGTGTGATGTGAGTGGCCTCTGCACAACGGACCTGCAATTCTTGAGGTATCATGAATCCATGGGGTAGGTACAGACCTCTGAGCTGTCCAGGTGCCAAGGGTGCTCCTGGTGCCACACCAGGCACCTCTAAACACAGCAAGTGTTCCCATTTCCATCCTCCTGCACCTCAGAAGGATCTGCACATGAACCACCTACCAAGTCATTCAAGCCAACAGCAGTGCCACAGAAATCACCCCAGAGCTGAACCTGGAGCTCATTTGGTAATTCCCTGAAAAAAACAATGGCCAAAACTCCCTAGGGAGACAGACCCAAGGTAAAAACAGTTCTGTAAGTCAGGTGAGCTCATTTTGTGAAGAAAACCACAAGTTCACACCCAGATCTAGAAACAAGACCAGTACCTGTCAGTGTCCATGTGCTTCAGAGGATAAACCCTCACCATAAACATTTCCAGCAGAGTGGAAATGAGAGAAGGAATGGTTTCTGACAGCTGTGTGAAAAGTATTTTAAACACACTGTAATCAAAACTCTTACACCATACAAAAGAAGACAAGGCTCTTGGCACTTCCTAAATTACAATGACTTTATTTTTCAAGGTATTTTTTAATATAAAACAATGTCACAAGTCTAAGGGGCTTACTAGAAAGTGACTCTATAAAGTATTCTTGAAATCTATATCCATGCACATACAAAATCCAGACAATGAAGAAGTCAGAGCTGCTGCCAGATCCACTCTCTGCAATTGTGAGATCCTTCATCTGGGGACAGCTACAGCAGCCCTTGGCGCTTCAGGTCTTCATAGGTCTTTTTATTCACCACGTTCCCACTGGAATCCTCATATTCCTCCTGGAACAGAACCAACAGTTTAGAAACAACACTCAAATGTTAGCTCCAAGAGCAGCCACTGAACATGAGCACCCAGCCAGAACCTCTGCCAGGAAGGCAGGCAGTGGATCTGCCAGCAGGTCCTGGGAGATTTTACTTCCCACTCTTGCCCTGCACACTGCTGAAAAATGGCTTTGGAACAGAAGTTTAGGAAAAGGCACCAGTGTAAGTGAGGACACTGCTCACACCCAGGAGCAAGGGGTTCCCATCGACACAGGAGTGGAGACACTGAATGCCTCTTACTGCTCACCTCTGTATCAGGCTGCCACCTCTCTGAAGCCTTCTGCTGTTTCAGCTTTGCCCACACTGCAAACACAAAGCCAAACAGGATCTATGCCACTTTCCTCGAGATACTGTCTTTTAATCCAGTAAAATATACACATGAGCTTTTTTTCCCTCTCCATTAAAACAGGGTCACTTTAGCAGTCCAGGAATGGATCTAACATCCATTACAAAGTTATCATTTCATTGTGTGGTTACTGAAAGGCACTGAACTGCAGCAAACAAGTCTTTATATGGATTGTTCAGGATGGGACACGAGACCAAGGTCCAAAGCCACTCCTTCAGAAAAGGTGGTGCTCTTTCACATGCTCCCTGTTGTGCCATCACTACTTACACGAGACTGCATCCTCAATCTGTGTGACATTGGCAAAGTGTGCTGTGTTGGGAATGCCCAGGCACCGCATTCCGTGGGCATGTCTCCACTCCTGGGGGAGAGATGAGATCAGTGTGAGAGGGAACACCACATCCTCCACAAGGAGCACAAAAGACGGTGACATCTGAACAGGGTACAAAATACACAGGCCTCTACAAAAACATTATTTTCTTGTCCTGCAGACAGTAACACCAGCAGCCATCAACAGCCACACTGCACCCATCAGATCTGAGCATGGGAATGGGTGTTCAAATGGGCAGGGATGGTACAGCATGAGCAACAGAGATCTCTGTATGCTAAAACGATCTCTGGGTCCTGCTGCATGGCCCTGCAGCACAAGCTCAGGCCCACATGGCAGAGGTGCTGAATGAATGCAGTAGGGCTGTTCCTGCAGTGAATGCCACTTACTGCAAAGTGCCGCTGGAACGCCTTGGGCCCTCGGTAGGTGTAGTTACCACAAATCTCACAGTTGTAGTTGATGTTCAAACCATGGAGTTTATACAACCAGTAAGGGATGGGCTGCAGGCAAGGAGACATGAGGATTAGGCTGTGTGGCAAAGAAACTCAAAGAGAGAAGCAGCATGGAGTCAGTGACCTCTCCCACTTCTCGAGGCCTGATAGTCTGGGTTACCTTCCCATCCCAACCAAGAGGCAGATTTTTGGGGTTATAAATGATTTCATTTTCTTCATCTTCACTCTCGCTCTCACTGATCTGCTCTTCCTCCTCCTCCTCTCTCTCCTCCCCTGTCCGTGCCTGCTTACGCTGCACATTCTCGTGGGTGAGGTGTCTTTGTTCCTGGAGTGAGAGAAAGGAAGGGATTGTCCACACACCATGACAGCAAAAATGTCAAGGCAAACTCTTGTAGCAAAAAATTTCCTCAGTGTAGAGGGAGAAAACAGAAGACCAGTGTGAAGCAGAGAACTCCCACCTTACTCAGCCATATAATTTCAGTTTTTAGTACCCTGACATTTCCTCCTTGCAAAGAATGAAACCTTGTATCACCTACTACCACTTTCAATAAGCAGCAGCCATCCTCCTGAAAACAATCCCCCAAAACTGAAGGCAAGGGGCAAGGCAGATCAAGTAAAGGTTTGCAATACTGTGTGACTTTTGCACAAAACAATGTGGTGCAGCACACTTATGTGATGCTGTTTATAAAAGCACTACATAAAGATGAGTACAACATTCCAGTCACTGTTTGACAGCTCTGAAATAAAAAGCTTAAAAACAAAATTCTTACCCCAAGAACTTCCACGTACTCATATATCTGAGCTTCCAGGAATGCAAGATCTTTATTTCTCTCAGTGTCTCTGAAACAGAGGAGGCATCTTCATTAAATGCACATGCCCAGCTCTGATACCTTCTGTTTGGTTCAGCACTTTTTGGTCCAACATGAAACGCTTCTAATACTCCAGGATCTCTGTCCTAGCTACACAAGAGTGGTGACTATAGAATACTCCTCATCCAAGAGGACAGAACATTGCCAGCCTCAGAATGGCCTCTAAGAACTCACCTTTTGCTTCCTTTTGTCTTTGGATTCTTAGCAAACAAGGAAGGATCAAGAGCTTCCAGGGATTTGCCTTTAGTGCTAAAAAGCCTCTGAGCACGTTCCTCCAGAGTCCTGCAGAGGCAGGGAAGGGATTAGTCTTGACTGCAGTTTTACTATTCCTGAGAACTATGTGAATTCATGCAATAAAATTCTAAATGTAGCTTTTAAGAAACCATGAGATTCCTTTTATCTTTGTCCCCACTCCTCAAGTCAAAGTCTGCTGTACCAGAGACTCCCATACAGGACCAGTTTACAGCAGCAGATCTCACTGCTTGGCTCTTAATGTTTTATCTTTCAAACATCATTAAGGTGATTCTAGTACAACAGAGATAACCACACAAGTATCCCAGAAAGAAATGTGATACAGGAACACCTCAGAAACTGAAAGGAACTCTACAAAGACTGCACCTTACCCGCCACACTTCAGCCCCAGAGCCAGCAAAGCTGATTTTAACCTGTCCAGCCCCAGGGAGGCCAATTCCTGTTCAATTAAACAAATCACTGTAAGAGACAAGCTGTTCACACATACAATGTGGATAAAGTCCACTTTAGCTTATTAATGAAAAAAAAACTCTGATGAACAGTATTCAAGAAAGGACTGTCAACACTGTACCCCTCCTCCTGGGAAAATGAGGAATGTGACAAATCTAACCAGGTCTTCCAAGTTACATCCCGCAATGGGAGAAATGAAATTATCAGCACCATCAAAGTTTTTCCCAGAAAGCACAGAGCCAGGGTCAAAACCAGAGCACTAAAATTACACAAAAGCCCCAAATGACTGAACTTCCACCTGCTCAAAATGTGGCAGTAAGTGCAGAGCACTGGGAACATACCTCCCAGGAGGAGAAGGCCGAGAGGTCCAGGTGGGCACCAGCATGGGTGAGGGCACTGCTGGTCTCTTTCTGCCAAAAAAAAAAACACATGCAAGAGCTGCATGACATACTACAACACTTCTGGCCACAGAATATTTTAACTTCAAGAAAAACAGTTCATTTCACAGAGAAAAATCCTCTTACTAAACTGAAAACAGTGCAATAGTAAAGATACAAAATAAACCAACCTGAAACAATGCTCGTTTTAAATCAGTTATGCTGGGTTTTAAATTCAGGTCAGTGTCACCCTGCACCGTGGTGACACAGAGCTGCAGCCCTCACTGCCATGGTCACCCCCAGGTGACCCACACAACCCCCTCACAAACACAGGAGCATCACCCAGGCTCAGGCTGCTCACCGGCCAGCCCGGGAATGTGCCGTTCTCCCACTTCTTCTCAAACTCCGTCTGAATTTTCCCAAAAAGTTCATTCTGGTCCAGTAACGGTTTCACTCGATCCGTGTAATCCTGCAGGTACTCAAGGAGCATTTCAAGATACCTGGCAGGGGAATCATAAGCACAGGTAATTCATTATCACTCTCTAACCACATCCTTGGACAGTCACTTCCCTCCCATGCTGCACAGGGACGTGACCACGGTCAGGTGAGTTTTCCACACAGGATTTTCTTCACACGGTAGTTCCAAGGCTACATTAATGCTCATCCTCTGAGCTGAATCTCTGCTGCATTGCAAGTTTGCTTGGGGCTCAGACACATGACTGAGCTCAGGGAGCCAATTTATGTGAGATAAGTTTGGCTGTTAATTATAATCTCTGCAGCTGAAGACTTCAGAAGCAAATTCCTTCTCACCAAATGCCATAAAGAGAGCAGGCAGGCAGACAGGCTCACCTCTTATATTCAGCGTTTTTTCTCTCCTTGGGAATATCAAAGAGTTGGTCAAATGTGGATAAGTAAGTGATATAATCCAATTTCTAAGAACAGAAAGTTTGAGTCAGAGTTCATACACAGCCAAATTGACATCCAGTTCCCAGAAAAGAGAAGCCCCAGCCTGTGCAGGGCCTGGAGATCCCTGGGCCCACACACTGCAGCCATTCACCTCTGATGATTTCAGGTTAATGTATTTGAGGTAACAATCATGCAAATCCAAGTATCGTCCGTACCCTTCCTCATCTGTGAACTCCACCAGATCTGTAGGAAAAATCATGAAAAGTTTTATTATGAGCTTAATATTCCCTACTTATTATATAACTGGTTTTGAACTGGAAAAGAATTAGCCTTTTCCTAGAAGCCTCATTTATACTTAAGGAAGGTGCTGTGATGCTCTGACACTCCTTGAGCAGCCCCAACTGCTGCTCTGTGCAAGCACCAGAACATTCCTCAGGAATGCATCCTCACTGGCAAACATTCCAAGGACTGCAGTTCAGGAGCATTTAGATGACAGGAGAATTTTCAGAATTCATTTAGTAAAAGGGAGGTCAGGCCCTGAAACATTAAAACCAGATCAAACAACCTATTAAATAATGCCAAAGCTGGAGCAAACTACAAACTTACTCTGAGCTTCTTCACTCGGGTTGTCTCTGGCCTTCAGCAGCTCCTCAAACTCCACTGACATAGGAACACAGATCTATGGGCAGATAAAAGCCACACAGTGATTTACTTCTGCTCCTGTCACAGAATAATTAATACAAAATGACACAAGGTGGCAAATAATGAAACTGCAAACAGAAAAGAGATTCAGAGCTTTGTCACCTTCCACAAAGGCAAAAGCGTGGTTTTAGCCAACACAAGAAAGGTGAGACCCCAGCTCAGCTGAACATCCCTGTTGTAGCAGGGAACAGGGTGAGTGTCTGCACTGCTCCCTCACATGCTGCCTGACCCTCAGCAGCTGTGCTGCGTGTCCTCAGTACTTGTATTTAATGCAATAAAACCGGGGAAACAAAAGCTCTGTTTCCTTTAGGGATGGGACCCAACTGAGCACACCTCACCTGTTCCTATGGAAGTACTCACCTCATTTGGGTGCTTCCGGTGAAATTCCTTAATTTGCTTCAGTCTGTTGTAAAACTCCGCAAATTCATTTGGCCCGGAAATGGCACTTAGTTCTTCCTTACGTAGGCTACGAGTTCATGGGCAGCAACAGAGAGAAGGGAAGGGAAGGGAAGGGAAGGGAAGGGAGAACAAGTGTGACACTGACACAACCTTAGTCCCGGTCTATGCTGCAGTGTCTGACTGCAAACCTCCGAGTCACAGGGGACCTCCCAGCCCACCAGGCTCGGAG